GATGGATGATGGATGATGGATGATGGATGATGGATGATGGATGATGGATGATGGATGATGGATGATGGATGATGGATGATGGATGATGGATGATGGATGATGGATGATGGATGATGGATGATGGATGATGGATGATGGATGATGGATGATGGATGATGGATGATGGATGATGGATGATGGATGATGGATGATGGATGATGGATGATGGATGATGGATGATGGATGATGGATGATGGATGATGGATGATGGATGATGGATGATGGATGATGGATGATGGATGATGGATGATGGATGATGGATGATGGATGATGGATGATGGATGATGGATGATGGATGATGGATGATGGATGATGGATGATGGATGATGGATGATGGATGATGGATGATGGATGATGGATGATGGATGATGGATGATGGATGGATGGATGGATGGAGCCAGGCAGGCCAGGCCAGGCTCCCAGTGGGTCCCAGTGCTGGGCGCTGCTCTGGCACCTCTCTGGGCCACGGCCAAACCAAACCCATTCCCACACACGAGGGCACAGCCCACACCTGCACCGCAGCCAGCACGCCCCAGCACCTCCATGACTGCCCACAGACCCCCCGGCACCTGGGCCAGCCCCCTCCCACCACAGCTTGTCCCCAAATGCCACAAACGCCACCTCAGTACCTCAGTGGCTTCTCCTTCCCCAGCCAAGCGGAGGAAGCCCAGCAGCCCCCAGCCCCCCTGCAGGCTCCAGTGACCCCGGGGGAGTCCCTGCGGGGACCCCATGACAAGCACCTGCAGCAGGAGCCCCCGGCTGCAGGGACAGCCCTGCTGCCCACGTGTGCCAGCGCCTGTGAGGGATGTGTGGGCCAGGGGGTCCGTGGGGTCACCCAGGGGGTCCGTGGGGTCACCCAGGGCGTCAGTGGGGCAGTGCAGGGGGCAGTGGGGGCAGTGCCGTGGAATGGCGCTGGAGGCTTCACTGGGGTCAGTGTGGGGGCTCGGGGGGTCCGTGCAGGGGGTCAGGTCAGGGTGTTCAGGGTGCTCAGGGGGTTCAGGGGATCAGGGGGTTCAGGGGATCAGGGCTTCAGGGGGTTCCGGGTGCTCAGGGGGTTCAGGGGATCGGGGTTCAGGGTGTTCAGGGGATCAGGGGGTTGGTTCAGGGTGCTCAGGGGGTTCAGGGGATCAGGGGGTTCAGGGCGTTCAGGGGGTTCAGGGTGTTCAGGGGGATCAGGGGATCAGGGAGTTCAGGGGGTTCAGGGGTTCAGGGGATCAGGGGATCAGGGTGTTCAGGGGGATCAGGGGGTTCAGGGTGTTCAGGAGCAGTGCAGGGTTCGGCGGCTCAGCACGGGGCCGGGGGTCCCGCGGGCCGCGCAGCGCCCCCCGGTGTCACGCAGCCCCTGCAGCGCCGGGCCCGGGAGCGGGGCGGGGGTGCGGCTGCAGATTCGTGGGGCGCGGGGTCCCGCCGAGGGGGTCGGGCCGGGCCAGTTTGTCCCCGCTCTGTCCCGGCTGCTGCGGGGCCCGCTCCCGCCCAAAACTCCGCTCCCCCGGCAGCCCGGTCCGCCGTTACCCCCGGCTGTCCCGTTACCCCCGGCGCCGTTATCCCTGGCGGTTCCGCTATCCCCGGCGGTCCCCTCCGCTATCCTAGCTCCGTTATCCCGGCACCTCCGTTATCCCGGGCAGTCCCGTTATCCCCCGCTGTCCCGCTCCGGGCGGGTCCCGCCGCCGCCGCCCCCGCCCTGGCCCCGACCGGCGGCTCCTCCCGCCCCCCGCTCGCAGCCCGGCCC